TAAATGAAGGAACCTTGAGGCAAGAGGGCCGGAGGCTAGCATCAGCTTGTCTCTGATCCACAGGGCAGCAGGGTGCTCCACTAGAACCCCCTTAACAAGACTGTATCAAAAACGGGAGTGTAAGATGCGGACAGGGGAGGAAACAAAGAGAAACAAGAGGCTGTATGGGTTTGTTCGGTGACTCCTTGGGGTCAAGAGTGCGACAAATGTTCTCACTGTGTGGTAGTGTAGTGCTGTACATGTAAGTAGAGCTGCCAACCACTGAATGCAATTTTAATTTCACATAATCTTGTTGGGTTAGGAATGGTTAGGATAAAAACAACTTCAAATTCCAACAAACTCATTAAAATTGCCGAATTACTAATTTTGATTCAGCTGGAGACTTTTGAGATCCTCTGATGAAGGCAAACATACCTATCCCATATGAGTAATACATTAAGTGTTTGCATCGTGTTTGAACTAATATAGGCAGGCTCCAAATGACACAAACAACTGAGGATCAAGCAGTATGTGCGAGCTACATTCTAAACGTAAAGTGTGGAACATCACCATTGCAAAGTGAGTTTGAAAGAACTGAGCAGTGAAACAGTGTGCAAATACCAATTCACAATATATCAAAGCTAAAAGTAACATTGAAGCCATCATATTAAGAGTGCATATCAGCAATGAAAACTATTAAGATATCAGAAGAAATAACTGCCCATGCATTTTAGGCCTGCTTGCGTGAAAACAAAAATGAGAAAATACTCAAGAAATGGTCGGCTCACACAAAATTCCCTAAATAATCTTGGGACTAAGAGTTTGGTAGAAAAAATAATTGTCAAGTCTCCATTCGGAGGTCTAGTTCTTGACGCATTGCACACCAGCAGTGTTTTTAAAGACATTTGGACATTCTAATGAATGGCTGTGAGATTGTGGCAAATTTATTTTTGGCGAACAGCCTGTGTGAGATGGTGTGCACAAATGCTGATGATGCATTAACGACTAAGCATTAAGGACATTAAAAGAGCAAGAGATATTTGCAAATGATACCTTGCATAGTTAATATCAAATGGACTTGCAATATTTCTGAAGATTTTCTCACACGTAAATTTGTAAATTTATGCAAAGACAGATTGCATCTTTTAGCGAGGAAGTTTCTCAGCTGAGATGTGAAAGTGGTGCATTTTCTTATTTTGGTAAAAGACATTTCTCCGGCTTTAATGCCACCAGGATTTAACTGTTGTTATTATTTCTTCAAACGTGAGACTCTGTAGATAAAACAGCTTGAGATGAGAGACATGCAATGAATGCTACGCAATTAGCTCTTAAAAAAGAACAAAGGGATAACATAAAGCGAGACATGCAGTGTCTTAGAGGCCAGTCTGTGATGCCCTTCAATAAAATCCAAGAAAAGTGGAGGATGATCATGTGGAGTACAATCTAAATATAGTCACTATAAAATTTTGCCTGATTTACTAAAATCACAGTGTTAATGATATGTCTCCAAGCAATTTTTCAGACAACCACAATCGATCACTATCCTAGGTACAAAAGATCTGAAGGTTGTGCTTTCTGTCTTGGTGATGTCTTTACTGTACAAATAATGTACAGCAGTGCCTATTTTGCTTCTGTGAATAATTTGCTGAGACAAAAACAGTTAAAAAAGTCAATCTTTACTCACGGATAGGCAGCCAGTGTAGCCAGCTTGGTGTAGATGTCTTTATTGGGCCTTCCCTTGCTAGAGTAGGTCTGGGGAGGCGGTAGGTTGTGACTGGCACAGAACTGGGATGGCTGAAGGGTGTAATTCTGCCGAACTGGATGCATGTCACTTTTGGAGGCAACAAACAAGCAGGGGATGCTGCTGTTCTCAAAGTGTTGCTGAATTAAAAGAAATGCAAAAAACAACAAACCGTGAGTTGTAAAAAGCTCAAAATCACGAGTCAAATTAGAGGGACAGTTTCTTGTAAATGCAAATGGGTGAGTAAGAGCTCATTTGTCGATTACTGAAGGGCAGTCTAAGGCTTAAAAAAAAATCAAATTTGCGATTGTGTTATTTTAAACAGTACAGTCATGGTTTGGAAACTAATTGGTTGATATAATATTTGTACACAACTTCAAAGTCAATTATCTCATACAGGCAACAAATTTCAATTATTTTGCAAAAAAGAAATCAAACTGATGCTTGAAAACTGTCTAAGAAACCCCAACACTATAAACTGTTCGAAGTTCTGATAACCTGAGGCTGAGACTTGGGAATAATTCTTTCAAAACTTGAACAAACCTTGTAACTCTTGGCACAATATTCAAAACTTCTTGGGTCCGAAATGTCATACATAAGGCAAACCACGTCACACTCCAAGTCCTCAGATGTAAGTTCATCTTGAAGTCCTACATCAATCTCGTGTAGCTGAAGTAAAATTGAGAGGGGAAAACAGAGCCCTTAAGTACTAAAAGTCAGAGTAATTTTGACCAATCTTGATCAGCAATGGATAAGGAACTTCAATAACTTTCAGCATTTCCTGAAGAATTGTTCAATAAAAGAATCAGTACTTGTGTCTTGGCCTTATTTTTCATCTCAACAGCAACATAAAAGAAAACACTAGAATCCTGCTTGGGGCCAATATGTCCTATTGTCTGCACATTGCACAAGTAACATCCCCCACAAGGTGACGAAAAGAGCCAGAACTGACACCAGCATGCCACTGGCCACTGTACACCAGGCAGCAGTGCAGGGATAATGACTATTTGTGCATCTCAAGATGATCATCGTTTGGATGAACAGCAAACTGTGCACAAGCAAACCAATGTTTCCATGGAGTTTGAAGAACCGTCTGCCGCCCTCTAGTGAATCATTGAATACATCTTCACAGATGATACAATGTGTTAAAACACAACTGTAGATTACCACAAGGTCCGCAGCATGCAGGGTAAGGTGTAATAAATACATATAATGACAGAGTATAATTACTAACGTAGAAATAGTCTCACCAAGAGGTACTTCTCCTGGCCGTACACCTGTACTGTATTGATAGTGTAGGCCGACAGGTGTTCCTTCATTGAATGGGAGGTGGAGTCCACAGTACGATTGACCAATCCCTGAAGGAATGCCGTCTTACCAGCACCCCGTGGACCAATCACATTGCACTGGAACACATTGCGAGAAGTTTGGCGTTTCTCCAGGTCAATCTTCTTTGCTCTGGACACTGAGTACAGCAAAGATGAATGCCAATTTTAAAGAATTAACGAAAGATCTGAAACGTGCACATATTGCATTGTAGAACTGTATTTGAAGACATCCAAAAATTTAAGCAATTGTGAACAATGTTTCATGCCCCTGCTTTTATAATTTCAGGATCACATGACCATACACCTCATCCTGATCATATATAATGAATTCACAATTATAACCACTTTTTTAAAAATGTGTAAAGTAATTCCTCTTCGAAACAGCTCTAAGATAACAAATTCCACTTTGCTTGCTACAAATTACAGCCCTTCTTCAATACAGTGGGTGAAATTAAATCTAAGGTTTAAATTATACAAACATTTATTTCTACATTTGTACATAGTGATTGCCATCTTTCAGCGATTATGTAAACGAGAGCATAGCTCACCAATAATAGCTGAGAGTTGGTTCTCATGCTCTGCCATGACATATCGGTATCCAAAGTAGGCTAGATACTCCAGGGTACGAGAGACATCCAGAAGGGTTGTGAGCCTGTAACCATAATTGCTTCAAATCATTTTCTACAGTCAACATTCAACAAATACAGAAATAACAACAGAAATCCAAAGCTACGCGTTCATTTCAGTGCAAGAAAACAACGAATACAGAAAAAGGGTGCACAAGCTGCTCCATGTGGAAGAACACGACCCTGTAAAACATGACTTTTTGTAACTATTTGTTTTGAAAAACTTCTGTGGCAGCATTTCACTGCCTACCCAGATGATAGCCCATTCCAAATTTGTCAAGTATTTTCCCTTCTACTGCTGGATCAGTCAATGGCCATAAACAAGTCCAATCCATTTTTCCTAGTATATTACGCTTAAATATCACATTGGTTGAATCTGACAGAAGAAAAGTTTTGCCCAGAATGTTTGCAAGGGGAGTGGGGGGCGGCAAACTTACGTCCACTGTGCCAAGCAACCCTGCAGTGTTATCCATCCTTTCTCATTGGTGCTGACTGTCATGTTGACATCAGAGCCCCATGGCATGATGGGACATGTCTGAAAGAAGTTTTGCAGCTCAGTTGGCGATAAGGCACCATCTTTGTCCTGAAAAAAAAAAAAAATCATGCGAATGTAAATCCTAGTACATGTAACATATTTTATTTCTACACTGATATTATTGTTTAACTTCACATCATGGCAGGCTATAAATAGAAAAAGTAAACTGAGAATCACAAATAGGAAGTTGTTGAGGATCAGATGTTGGTTTAGATATCAATTCGTTGGCAGAACAGGAACCTTGATGATCAAAGATACTGCTTCTGCTGAAGCAAAAAAATGACAGCTTCAGGATAAATCCTTATGTAAATACGTATAAAAAATTTGCTGTACCGGAGAAACGCCAAAAAAATGCATGAACATGCTATACACTGATTTGGTGACAAGAATCAGGAGCCATTACTGCAGTGTTCCAACAGGCTTGTACAGATGACATGTGGATAGAAATGCTTCCTCAGCCAACGGGAGTGCACTGCTAACCAAAATCATGCACGCGTCAAGTTCAGGAATGCGCACCTGAATGACGGGGACACCGCAAGTAATGGCATCAGCCAATCGGTCTGCAACAACTTGTGATATATATATACATGCATATGTACAACTACCTGTATGTTGTTGGTAGAACGTGAATTTTCATGAGCAAGGATTCGGCTTCTGGCATTTTCCAGCTTGTCTTAACAGTGATTGTTAAAAAAAACTGCTATAATCAAGAAAATCCTGAAATCAGGGAAAAATCCTGACAAATCTCCCCCCTGGTTAAGCTATACACACTGCATGTTCATTACGTACACAGTAATAAGAGTTACATGTATAATGTACCTGATCATATTTTTCAAAGAGTGAAGTGAGGAATTGATACCCCAAATGGCTTAGCTCGGTGGAACTGCCTCGACCAACTCGTAACCTAAACAAAAACACATTAAGCACGATTAATTGATCTACATTTACTGCCACAAACAAAGAATGATACAGGGTTTTTACATCAGCAAAGTGTGAGAGAATCTGCAATATAGACTGCTATCACACTGCCTGCTATTTAAATGGGCGACCAAAGTTTGCAGAAATTGTCCCCTTAGCTGGAGTCAGATTTTTATTTCACAGTGTACATTTGCTGTGTTACTTTCAAAGAGGGTCGTATTTTCATACAGTATTCCATAGTAGTGTTTGTCATTTGGTACTTTGATGGCTGTGTTCCAAATTTGTTACACTTAAGACAACTGTTCGTTGCTTTTGCACTGATGACCACCAAGGTTTCACCAGAAGCTGGTTGGCAAAACTACAGCTGTGATATAGAAAGGGCAGTCCCCATTATTCAATTTAGAAGGACTTACCTCGGGCGCAGGTAGTCAGCTGTGAGTTTGAGGTGATCCGTGTAGCCAAACTTCCTAAGTACAGTCCATGTGGTCTCGTGCCGACCGCGCTGGATGAATAGTGTATGCAGGAATAAAAATCCTGTCCACATAAATAAGAAATCAGTACAAGTTACATTTATGCCCCCAAAAGATGCATATCTACATATGATTTTACATACCATTTCATTGCTAAATTTACCTCACACTGCATTGTGCAGTTAACAACGATCTTTGCTAGAAAACACACTTAAACCCTCGGTCAAAAGCTGGACACAATTTAGCAACCGAGGTAAAAGTATAAAATAATGTTTCCAAGATGTAACTGAGCACTGAGGAACCGCTAATACTCTGTCAAACAGTTTAACAGACATCAATTCTGTGTCTGAAAAACGGAAGGCAAAACAAACAACATAAAAATAGGGTCTCACTTTCAAAAATTGGTTTTATTTTTTACACCTTTTGTTATTTCACCACATTGGGGAAAATGCACCAATTTAGACTTTTTCTTTTACACCTTTGAATGTGTGACCATAACATCTACTCAATACCAATTAAAAGTATATGACTGCTCTCAAATGTATGGAATGCCCTGTTGAGCAAAAGAAACTTGAAGTTCTCTGTTAAATTGAAGTTTACTTTGAAGCACAAAAGTTAATATTAAAACAAAGAAACATTTTCCAAATAACGTAATAGAACCTCAAAATTGCAAGTTAAATTTCATTGACGTTCCTCAAATTTACCCTTTTGCTAGGGAGATTCTTATAGTAAATATGTACTGAATTACCTACATTGTAAATGTCACAAAAGCTTTCCAATTGAGCCCCCTTCCTTACTCCCAACTTGGAAATTTAAGACTGAAAAGCTGGACTGAAAATCTTGTGATTTTGCCAATGTTCATATGAAAACACACAAACTGTGGGGGCTGAAATTGCATGTATGTGTGTTTCTCAAATTATATCCGTGATCAAACAACTCGCATGGGGAGGGGGCTGTGAATGTGTATAAGCTGGCTTTCCTGGAAGAAAAAAGGTAACTTTCCAAGCATTTCCTGAAGCCTGACTCATGCGTGGTTGCTCCATTCAGCAAGGTACATCGTGTGTATGACACATCACCTAGATGTTGACCCAGCTACACTTGTCATGGCCTTGTGTGGTTAAGTTCATAGATGACTCAAAAGTGGACCTAATTTCATCAGAAAAGTATGCCATATGCAGGTATACTACCAGACAATGTGGAAACTGCATTCAGGCTGAGGTAGAACATATCTGCAATAACAGCCAGGTTGTTTTGCTAGAGCTGCAGGAATTCAGGGCAATTTAACTGATCTGTCGAAATACTTCACAAGCATACAACACGTTTCAGGGCTTAATTCCTGTAACTTTAGTGCAAATAAGCCATGTCCATGGCTAAAATTAAGTCTTTCTTAGAAAAAAAAATGGCATATTTCTTCCCGATGGATATACACTCTTGTGATAACTTCTTAGCTACAGTTGTCACCTATTTGTGAAAGTCCATTGTTGACAACTCCCTCTGGGATGTTTTTCCTAACGACAGCCTTGACATCATCCAGGGCTTGAGGCTGTAAAGGTGCATTAAAACATCGTCTCTGTAAACAGAAAAGTAATGTTTGTATTGTTTAAGTCATTTCTTTGTTTGATAGTTCATTTGATTAAAATTGAAGTTTTTTATTAACTTCTTTCAACAATCTTTTAATATCACAAATCCAGATTTTACTCTTTTATATTATGAAAAATAATGACAGGTGCTCCTGCAAAAAATTTACTCTCAAGAAACCACATAGTTTTCCACACAAATGTCTGCTAAAAGATTTCAGTAACTAAAAAATTTCTTCATCAGTTTCTTCAGCCACATTTTTTCCCACATTCAAGGACATGACCCACGTTGCAAATGCTGGGAATTTATACACATTCCGAAGAAACTTGTGTAACCTGCTCACTGGAGCTTGTTTGGAGTCATCTCTGGTTATGCACAAAAAGTTACTGCTGTTAAGTTCAATTACCTGGAACAGATTGAGCTCATAATCATTGAGCACGCCATCATTATCCAGATCACATATCGTGAATATCCTGGACAGTGCTCTCTTGCATTCTGGTTTAAGCTCTTTGTCCTCTGCTGAATACAGAGGGCCTGTTGGGTGGAGCACAGCCTTCTGGGCATAGAAAAACACCTCAGATATGTTCTTCAGATTCCTAGATGAACACTATTAAGAATAAAAAAAATACTGTGTATTTAATTTGTAAGTAATTACGATCTTTCAAAATGCACCAGGAAGTTTGGAGGATTTGAAGGATTGAGGAAGGTAGAACTCAGCTACCAGTATTTTATATGAGATTGAAAGATCCTTGAAAGTCAAAGTTCAAAGGCTTAGCCATTTGTTTCAATCACAATGTGATTTTTGTTTTAGAATTTATGAAAGTTCAAAGTAAAAAGGGCCATGCAGTTGGGATTAATCTACTTCTGCTGTTGCTTTCCTTTAATACTTACACTATGTCTAATATCTTGACACTTGTCTAATAGACAGCATCACATCATTTTTAGTTCTGCATTTTTCAAATTCCCTTTTATTGTACATTCAGGCCAGCTTTGGTAAGCATTTGGACACTGAACTGAAAATCACGGTTTAACGCTTTAACACATTTCTGTTATAAAAATAGGCCTTCCAAAATGCCTACAGGGTACCCAAAAGACACCCCGACACCCCTCTGGATGAAAACCTTAATGACCAATTTTAATTTTAGACGCATGACAGTTGATCTCACCTCAACGCATGTCTCAATTTCCGAGTAATCATTCATGATAGGCACCACACTCTCCAAGCTGTTGGCATCTGCCTGATCTGACTTGTTACCAACCAGGATGATTGGGGTGGTGTGGTCCGCTCCAAGGGTGTTTCTGACAAGAGGCAACCAGTAGTCAGTGATGCTGTCAATACTCTCACGATGATTGACAGCGTACACTATGCAGATCACATCAGCCTACAAGGTGCAAAGGACAACAAATTACAAGTAAAATTCAAGAGAATATGTTCTGTGACACGCATTTTCAAATAAAATGTAGAAAAACTGAGCTTACAAGTTGCTCAAGTGATGGCTGAAATATGATTAAAAAACTGCCTCAGGACAAAAAGAACCGAATTTGATTCATTTTGGCATAATAAACTTTATGTTATAACTTTTGTATTTCATTCATCTCTAAAAGATGACTCATTTTTGGGCTTACCCTGGCAATCTCTTCCATGAGGATCTCATCATTCTGTTCTCGTGCTGTCAAGATGAATCAAGGAACACCAACATCAGGTAATCATTGCCATACTTGAATGAATAAGCCGATGATTGTCTGCTGGTGATGAGACCAGGTGACAAATTTCCACGAGCAGAGACTCGTAAGAACATGTGTTGACAATGTACTCCCAGTCTAAAAAAGCCCATCTGGAGGCTGTGGAGGTTTAGAAGGGTTGAGGTTGATAGAGCTCAACCCAAATTACATTGCACTGGACTTGATGCACTTTTGGGATTGAAATACAAAGAATGCTCCATTTTGCAACGTGTGGGGCTCTGAAGGTTCTGTTTTAATTCATGAGTAAGGATGCTACTTGTGCAAAAATAGAATTACTCACATGAAAAGTCCACAATGTGAGTGGGGACTTTCTCTGGTGTTACATCTGGGGGGATCGTGATCTCTTCTGCCCTAGCAGGTACCTAACAAATAAAGAAATCAATTTAAAATAAAAGCGAATATCCCCAAGTTGAATTTCAATAACCAACTATCACAAAAGCCTACTTACATTATATAGATGCTTTCCGGGGACAGTTTTGAGCACTGTTTGCAATGGGCTAATGAGGGCGACCAGAACTACCATGATTGCTGCAGTTTGCACCACTACACTGGTGGTATGTAAGTATTACATTCATCATACCGTGCCCCAATACAAAACACACGCATGTGATGAAGACATCATCTCCTCAGATTCATACAGTGAGAGGCACTTTGCACCAAGTGGAGTTTCTTAAATATATAGCCTTTACATTACATAATGAACTCACCTGCTCATCTTCTGGAAACTCATCACTAACAAGGGTAAGGATAAGTGATGTTTTTCCAACCCCAGCTGTCAAGAAATTGGGGAAAACTCAGTTAATATAGTTAGATCGACTTGCGAGTTTCTTTTGAATTCATCTGCATGAAATATATCATTAGCATATTATTGAAATTGTTCATGTACATGAATTTCAGTTTCAGAAAGAGAAAACAACTGTTTGGAAATGGGAATTTATTATCCCATGTTGACTTGAGAGAAATGCACTTACAGTCTCCAATCAGTAGGATGCGTACGTCCCTGTGCCCATACATATTTGCAAGGGGTTAGGGCACTCAGGTTGTATACACTGATCTCTGGTTGTATTTTGGTCTTTTGCCTCAAAGGTGTTCAGCAACTACAAATACAGATAACACAGTTATGACATACAAACCACATAAAACAGATTTCTATTAGAGAGGAATGTCATCTAAACTACCTGTAGTGCAGCTGAAGAAAAAATTTGGGTTGTAGCCAGCTTTCATTGTGAATCCCTGCTTTTTCATTTGGACTTTTTTCACTACTACAACCATGCAAAATGGAGAAGAACAAAGATGGCTTCTTGACAGTCACTTTCGTGAAAAAAGCTGCTTCCGATTTCAAGAAACTTTATACAAGGTGTTATAGCGAGTCCTAAAAGTTTTCTAAAAACAAATGTTTTCTCTGGCCAGCTCAGCCAGGTTCTGGAGGTTTTCTTTATCATTCAATAATTTTTTGCAGCTGACTTTGCCTTCGACAATGAAAAAAATCGGCAACATCCTTTTTGCCTCATAAAAATCAATACAATTTACTTATAAAGAGCAGCTTGACTTAGAACAACTTGACCATTGAGACAGCTCGACTGGTGGGACACCTTGACCTCAAATGGACAGACAACTTGATTATTCAGACAAATTATTGATTGAGTCAAGTTGACTCATAATGCGTCCACTTGCGCTTTACAGTCACATCACCCACACCTTTTTTTCAACTTAAAAAAGAGAAGGGGGGGTGGGCAGATTTACCACCTCCCATACTAGCAGAGTAGCTACTGATCATCGGTGCACTGTAGGCTGTATGCCACCCCACCCGTAAATGCCGCATCACTGTCGCGGCCACGCACCTTACTGCTTAGGGCAGCCAATGTGCCGTTCACCAGTCAATGCAGTGTCAATGGGTCCCATGCTGTGCATGCCATGCCTGGTGAGTTGAGTTGCTTCGTAACACAACACACGCAGGTTTGCCTAACACATGATCTAAAATCTGTGTTAAATGCCTGAAACTCTGTCGCATCATGAATGCTTTGAACAGTTGAGTTACCTTTGGCCTAATGGACGACTTGGTACATGTAAATGTTTGAGTTGTCCCATCATTCTACTTGTCTCCACCATTGTCAACCATTGAGTTGTCCTGAGTCTAGTTGGCAAACAGTCAGTGACAGTGGAGTTGTCCCACATGCAGTTACGCCTACTAGGCTAGGCCTACATACTAGGCGATGAGAATGACTATACCACATTTCCATCTACTGCCCACATAGTGCTGAAACAGCTGCAAAAATTTTCATTGTTTTCCAAAAAGTTATTTCAGAAAAATTTTGTTTTCCTGTCGGGAATGGTTAACAAATGGCTGCAAAGTAAATCAGGAGTTTGTAGTGTGCCAATACAAATGGCGTGATGAAAGACGGACTGACATGACTGAGAGCCAGTTTACTTTCAAGGTTAGTTCCCTTGCATGGACGTGTACTCGCTATCGATGCGCAGTATGTGCACTAATGTACACCAACAGATCCACTAATGAATAATTATAATGAATAGCCTAGGCCTAATGAAAAAAAAAAGCGTCAGGCCATGCCATGGGTTTTCAAAATTGTCTGGACATGCTGGATGGAAATTCGGGATGTTCATTCTCATGGCCCTAGCTAGACATGGGCAAGACAAGAAGGCACTTTGGCCTAGCTTCAGGAACATGTCCGGAATCCGGCAACCTGGATTCTCGAGTTTTATGAATGCTGCAGCAAAACATGTGCTTGCCCAGCCCAACCTACTTTTTTCATGAAACTAGTCAAATGTGTTTAGGCTGTAAATGAATAAAATCGATTCTCTTCACGGCCTGACCACTTCACACACACTTTAATCATAAATATTTCAATAGTGACTTCAGAAAAATAAATTTTTCAACATAACGAAATTTTAGAAAAACTGCATGTGGCTTGGCAGCCTGTAGTTGTCTTCCACACCTGAAAATCTTGCTTGAAAAGTAGGCAATTTCCTCATCAGGTTAGTCCGTTTTCCATCATGCCGCACCGGCACCGATATATATCGAGCTGACGGATCGGGTCTGGCACCCGCCGCCGATACCGTGCCTGTCTGCACAAAACGTACACCTATTTAGCAAACTCGAATCACTGTTGATGATTCACGTACCTCACGTAGGCGGGCCAGACTATTCATAGCTGGAGATTACGCACAGGGCCAGGGTCAGAGGTAGCGGGAAAGTTCGGCGCGGGATCGGTAATTTGATTTAGCGCCATCACTTGGCCAATAGCTCAGCGACTGAAAATCTAGTCTGGATACCAGACCCGATGATTCTTATTCTGGGGTAGACTGAACCNAAAAACAATGTGTTGTTTGGTCCCTCAGATTTTATTTGATTTTCAATTTTTTGTAGGTCAACGTATGAATTTTTTAATTATCCGCCCAAAATAAACTCACCCCAAAAAAGTCAATGCTCCCAAGTCTTCTCAGCGGCCATTTTTCAAATGACACCCCTCACCTTCTTGGGCTCTTCTGACAAATTTTCAATCACATTTTTGTCTGCATTGCCCCCAGATGGGTGCCCCTGAATCTACAGAGATGATCCCGGGCCATACTGGCACAATCCCATCCTCTCTTGGCCCAAATTTAAGACCCCTCTTTTCGAAAGAATCTGTGGGAGGGGGGGTACTTTTTGTGCGCCTCTGCCTGGCGGAGAACCTTGAATTGGGACACTGCACCCTTTACGAATCAAGGGCACTGATCGAAATCAGTGGTATCACCCAATGTCCACGTGACCAAGACTGGATGCCGAAATATTCCGAAGTAGTCCCGTCTAGATTCGGCATGTTCAGATGGTACCGTTGATGTTTGGGTATTCCCGGCCGGGTAGGTGTGCTAGCTGTTGAACGTAAACTCCCGTATCCATTAGCAGCTGTTGATCTTACAAATTATTTGACTTTACACTAAATCGAAGGTCGCCTTGACCGAAATGCCAGGCGAAATGCAGAATATAACTTTCTCCGACTGCTGGCTTTATGCATGAAACATGCTCTCAGTGAGGATACACTTGCAATATTGCCCACTGGATACTGGATATTTTTGAGATGTTGCCACTAATGAAATCGAGAAACCCGGGCTATCAACTTGTCACCCAGGCTGACCCGTGTGTCATATTTATTTATATCCGTGGGTGATGCCTGACCTAAGATTTTTTTTATCAAGAGTCGTCATAGAATCTTTAGTCTGAACTAATCAGTAGTCTGAACCAGACTACTGAAAATCGAGCATCGTTGCCAGGGGCGTGGCTTCTCTAAGTGATGCGTGACCTTGTGCTCTTCGTCGGGGTGGCATACCATACTGTGAAGAAACTGAATAGCCTCAACCAATCGAACACCGGAGAATTCCTTTATTCTATTCACAATTGCATTTGTGGGTACTGCAAACATTTTCCTTTCAAAATCAATCGAGCTCGATACCCTCTAGTTTTACATGATGTGCGAAGTGAAACGATTCAGTGCTGAACAACTTCTGTGGCCGAAGAAAATTTGGGGCGGAAAGTGTTCGGTTGAAAATCACCTGATAACTACAGAAGCATATGCACCACGAACACGATGAGCAAAGAAGGCTAAAAAAATGAATATATCATTTGCAGTAATAGTCAACTTCCGAGACACATTTTGTGTCTTTGTTACAGTTCCATTGTGATTGTTCCTGGGGTTACATGCATCTCTTTTGAAAATTAAAAACAAGTCAAAGATAAAAGTTTACTTTTCTCTAGACTCAGGAGTCAATATTTATCGTTACATGCTTCAAGTCATGATCTGTACAAACATGTTGCCATTTCTATTGATTGTGCTACCACATAAGCCAAACACAAATCAATATTCATCCATGCACTCGGTGTCACGCATCAACCTCTCACACGACAGGTATTTACCCCACGCGTTGAATAAGTAAAGCCCAAGGGCTTTCAACAAGTACAATTTCAGCCTTTAAAAAAGGAATAAACTGAGGGAATCAACGAGCCAGGTAACATCAGCCGCGACGTTGCTGACTCCATTTATGTCCTCATTACCTTTCAAAGAGGATTCGGAATATTTCACATACGGCATCTAGAATCAACAATTATGGAGCTTGATTGAATGGGCCTTAGTCCGCACACAAGCGGACGAGACGACAAGTTCTGTTTGCAAACAGAGCTACAATAGGCGAGCATACAATCGAAGTGATTGCATCGGCGGATTCGGATTGTTGGCACGACAAAGCCCAGTGTGGTGACACTGGTGATTCGCACGTCCTGTCAGCCCCGTTGTCAGGCTGAGCATGGGCTGAGTAACTCAAGGGGTTTACTGCTTGAGCATGGCCATAGTAAGTGCTGCTGTGGAAATGATGACTCTCACTTGACTTTTGGTACGTAACTCTTCACGATGGAACGTAATGGCTAGACTTTGGCTACCGTGTTCGTATTGTGAAGGTCTGCCGTCAACGATGTGATATGTTTGGACATGTTAAGGAACCACCGATCAAAATTGTGCAAACGACTACTGTAAGAAATTTTAAAAACTGGTGAGTGTTCACGCGTTGCTCCTGAAACAGAGGACAGTCTATTATTTCGCTTAGAGGAACATTCTACGAATATTAGGAACACAAGGTGAAAGTGAATGACGAGTCATACCATGGAATCTTAGCCGAAGTCCCCAAAACCTTAGGTTTCATTATTCTATTTGTCAAACATTCATTGCAGCCATAAATGAATCAGCAATGAAGCCCACAGTGCCGAAAACAGTTCATGTGGACAAACGTCCCAGCTTCGCAGGCAACCTGGTGACAATCTTCGCGGGACGGGCCGAGCGCACGGCCGAGACCATGGCCATGCGTCAGAACCTCCCAGGTAAGAGTCACGTTGGGAGGATTCTCCTGAACGACAACACCAGCCAGGAAAGGCTCCTTGACATGAGACTGTCCGACATCCAAAACGCGCAGAAGAAAACAGCGACGTTCATCGCACACCAAAAGAAAACTTTTGTGACGAGGATGGAGCATCGTCAGAACACGTGGGTCCGAGAACATTCCAGGAGGGCAAATATCCTCAATTCATGGGCGAACAGAAAGCGAGACAGCATCGTTGCTGACACAGAATCACAAGACAGTGCCGAAGACGCTGTCACACTAGAGAAGGGTAAGGCGGTAGATGCTTCAGATGATACAAATCCAAATATTAGATCAGTGGATACTACTAAGAAAGAATCACAAGAGATGTCGGATTCTCTGCCAGAAATTTGTTCAACCCAGAAAAAAAGTAGAATTCCACTCGGAAAATTTAATGCCAAAGGGACAACAGGTCTACCTAGAAATGATCTTTCTCTGCCAAACATTCAAGTGTCAAACTTGGTGGACAAATCTTCCAATCCAATGAATGGAACGAAGCTTCCCTCAGTTCTTATTACAGCTGAAGGTGACGCTGAACAGGCCAACCAGGAGTCTGGAAAGTCAAACAATGCTGGGAATAGCGTCGAAATTGCTGAAAAGAAGCAACCTCGAATGCCTACCGACACCTTCGAACAGCCCCGCCTGACCGGACCTTCGCCGACGTTCATCTCTGAAGTCTTGCCTAGGATTCAGATCCAGGAGCGCCTCCGGATGCCGTCACATCTCTCAAAGAAAGCAAGGCGGCGAAGGAGGAGGAAGATCTCCGCCAAGAACGTCGAGGAGGACCCGCTGGAGGACGATAGGTTCTTGAGGCTGCAGCACACCCTTGCCCCTCATCTGGCCTGGCAAGACACCAGAGACATGGCCAGTATTGCCGCGGGTGTTGTGAACGCAAAAAAAATTGTGTCAGAAAAGTTAAGGAAAATAACTAGAGTAGACGAAGCTGTTCAAGACGATTAATTGTACACGGATCCTTGCAAGGTGTGGTAAGGATGATGTCGCCGAGTGAACTTTTTTTCGTAAAGGAGAGAAATAGAAAAGAACATTTTATGTATCATATAATATAGTGATGACCAACCTTTTTGTATGACTAATACGGAACAAGAACACGTCATCGAACAGACTACAGTAAAGATAATGGCAATATTTGCTCAAATAACCATTGACATGTATGTATATCTTATGCCAGCACTTAAAAGGTTGCAATAGATGGACTGTAAAACCGAAGAAAGATTAAATCCCACGCGTAATATCAACACCATAATATACACAAAAATACTTTATTTTGGGAAATGAAACCGAAGTACATGTATAAATACAATTAAAATAATCTGCATTGAATATTTTGATTGCGCTGACTGGGCACAAAATTATTCTTCTTTTCCATACGTTTGTACACTTATCCGAAGCACATACCAAGGATACATCACTTATAAGTGCCAAATGTTTTTGGTTTACAATTAATTCAAGTCAGGTTTTGAATTTAATTTTAATTTAATTTGTGTGAAAAACAATCTTATTACGAGTGGTGTTTTTATCTATGTTTTTCATCCGGTAATTGTTGTTACCGGTTGTTACCGGATACATGTATCAGTATTTCAATTAACTACCTCTCATAAAATCTAATAAAAATTTCGTTTCGTGGTTTTCCAGAGCACCCACTTGATTAAGGTACTTTGGCTGATTGTGCTGTTATATTTCCACACAAGCAATTTCCACTAAGGAAGGATCCCAACAGAATGAAACAACATCTTCTTGTCCCAAGGAATGTCAACATCACTGGTAACCACTTCCTTATGCAACACAAGCACGCGGGCAACTCCTTAAATGACTTATCTTTGGGGGAATTTACATTTCGTTCGTTTGTTTTGTTACACCAAAAAACTTCCTGGACCCTACAACCAGCATAAGTGTTACTCCGCACATTGCAAGTTATTCTATAGACGAAGAGAATTCCAAGCCACATTTTTCGAGAACAAAATTCGCTCCTCACTCCACCATTACCCAAAACCAAGGTATTACGCTGACGCCTGCCTACAGCGAACTTCAAAACAATTTTTTTTCCTAAATCCAATTTGGGCCTTATGCATAATACCTAGAATAAAAATTTGGAAACTGTTTCAGTAAATCCAACTTTATCGTCAATGGACGATCTTAACTAGTGTGCTTCATATTACAGGGGCGTGATAGCAACTTTATTTTCGTTGATTTAATTTCTTTGGTGAAAGGCACTAAATAGCTCCAATTGAGGGCGCTAATGATACATGTACTATGCCCAACACCAGGCTGAGGTGGTAGAGAAGTCGTCTTAACGGAGGAAGTGCTACTGACCTGAATCCAACTCCAGAAGAAACATTTACATTTTATGAACTGAGTCAACACTTAAGTATTCTGGCACTTCCTATTCCCCATATAACCACGGGAGTCAGCTTGCGTCCCTCGCTGCTTCGTATGTTTGCGACCGTTCGTTGGAAATGAATTCGCCCCTGCTCCAGCTTCGCACCGTAAAAGAACTGTTGTCGCCATCTGTTAATAATAATTATAAGAAGAAGTATTATTTAAAAATGCATTCCATGTCAACGACATCAAAAAGCGCTGTACACTAAATATCATTAAAAAGATTAAAAATAAAGACAATTACAATATCGTAAACAAGCTAAAAGCTGATACATAAGAAATACAAAACTTTCGAATTACAACCAAATAAAATAAAATGGCCTCCTAGTTAGCAAGATTGGACTATATTGCTGAAAAGTAATTCTGGAAGAGGTGAGTTTTAAGCTGGTTTTAAAATGATTTAAACTTCCAGCGGATCGAACTGCCTTTGGAAGCGCATTCCATACGCGAGGGGCATACACTGAAAAAGGTCGGTCGCCATGGCTGTTGTAAGCAGACCACACCTGGGGAAGTTTATCGTAAGGAGCGTACATTAGTTTTGACATGTATTAGTTCACAACGGTAGGCTGGAGCCGTTCCCTGTCTAATCTTGTACACAAGATGTAAAACTTGAATCGTCCTTCGGCGCACTGCTTGAGCCTGCCCGAGTCCCCTCTCTCACCCGTAAGATGTTAATTATATCGTATAGGATCTTTCTTACATACACGCTAACATGACCTGATCCCTGCTTATTTTTTGTTAAACTCTGTCGACACTCGAGGTGTTCAATGTTTACATTAACATGATCAATAAATCACTGTCGTTTGTTTGCTCTTTATATTGTAACGAAACGTTGGATGTAGACCCAGTGCCAGTCTAGTCCTGGTACCCGCTGTGGTGGTCCCGCGTCGCTGTGGCTGGTGCGCGCGGCTAGGATATAAGGTAGCGCAGTGCACAGCTTCCCGCTTTTTCCACGAGGCTTTTCGATGTTGCCCCCACGTTACTTTCTACATCTCTGTTTCACTTTGGTGCGTTTCCCGAGTAGTTTTCTCGTAAGCGGTGACGATTCTTGCTCTGCGTGTGGGGGAGGGGACCTGGTGGGTCAGTACTGCGACATCGCTCTGGTGTGTGATCTGACTAGCTTTAGAGAGGAACAATCAGCCAAGCTATGTGATTACGAAAGAATCAGTTCAATACCTGTTGACGCCTACTTAGGAGTCACCTTCCAAGGCGTAGGCACAGTAAACCATTCTGAAAGTTACACCAATAAATGTGTCTATAGTGTAACCTTAATACTAGTGAGAGTGTGGGTGTTTTCTGGTGTGCTGCGGTGCCTGGGGGAATATTTCTCCCAAACGAAGTTACGTTCCAGAGTTTTCCCGATAGCCGCTCGTCAGGAGGGCCTGATTTCCAGCGTCCGTCTGGTAGCACGCCTCGGCTGGTGTGAGGGTCGGCGTTACGGTACAGATTTGGTGTCAGAAGTGGGATTGGCATCGCAGAAGCAGCAGTGATCTATAGCCTACCTAGGGTGTGGAAAATTCCTATTTAGGTGAGATGGTGGTCAGCCTCATTGATTTTCAAGGTGACCTTTCGAAGTACAGCTCGTCAAACGATGTCAAGAACAAGAGCGAAGAGTGGGAACAGCTGAAAGCCGAGAATCAGCGCCTACAATTGCAAGTGAAGGAGCTGCTTGCAAGTTTCGATATGAGTCAAAAGGGGTCAGAGCAGTCAACTACAACACTGAGACAAAGGATCCCACCGACTCCAAAACCAAGAGGATTTCTGGTGGTTGTGCCTCTGTCTTTGCCGGCGCCTACCAGACCCACCACTTCAACGCCTACGGCAGGCCTAGGCAACATTGAAACGACACCACCGAAAGTAACGGATGATTGCTCCTTACAAATAAACCAGGCCACCCAGAGTGAAAACGGCGTGGTGCACTCACTTATTGGTGAAGAGCCTGCTAAGAAGGGAGTGGAGACGGCTAGCTATAAGCACGAAGAAACGGCCGAACATCCTGCCTGATAGGTTTAACGGAAAAACTCCATGGCGGGAGTACAAGCAACACATCTCAGCTTGCAAGCTGGCGAATGGATAGACTGACAAGGAGGCGAAGGTTTTCCTTGCAGCAAGCCTGCAAGGGGAGGCTGTAAAGGTGTTAGAGAATCCTCACTTATGAGGAGCTACTGGGTCTCCTTGACAAGTGATTTGGGCCCAGACAACTGGCGGAAAATCACCTGATGGAACTTCGCCATAGACGTCAGAGAGAGAAGGAGACCTAACAAGAACTGGGACTGTCCATTAGGGATCTTTCTGCATTAGCCTACCCAGAGTTGACGGACGAGGGGCGTGATCGCCTGGCTCGTGGGCATTTCTTGGACGCAATACAAGAGCAGGCCGTCCGCAAAGGAGTGTTTCTGGGACAGACCGTCGTCTTTGGATGAAGCCATCCGCACCGCCTTGAATACTGAGGGTTTCCTCAAGATCGAGGAACCACGCTGTGACAGACGGTGGACATTCGTTAGAGGGGTGGATGGGACACCCATGGACTCGTTACAGGCAGTCAGGGGTGAATTCGAAGAGAAGTGTAGAGAAGTGTGAATTCGAAGAGAAGAGAGGTCCTTCAAGAGGAGTGACAAGGAGGTTCGGGAATGGATGGAGCGAATGACGAAAACACTCGAAGCCATGCAAGGAAGGCGAAAACAAGGAGCACCTAGAACTTTTCCTAGGCGCGAGGCAACACCAGAGGACGTGTGCCACAGGTGCAAAGGTAAGGGCCAGTTTGCACGTGACTGCCCACAGTGAGGTAAACGAAACGCAAATGAAGCGGGAAACGACAGCCAGCTGATCCAGCGGCCCCAGGGACAGCTGGAGCAGCAGATGGGCCAGAAGACACGGGTGGAAACGGTCTAAAAAGGCGAAATATCCATAATGAGGATTTGAGACCAAACGGCTACCTAAAGGCACAAGGAGGACTATTTGTACAGGCACAAAACAGGGGAGTCAAAGTAAAGTTGTTGGTGGACACAGGTGCGACGGAATCTGTCCTGTCTTCGGGGTTTTACTTCCGGATACCCACAGAGAAGCGGCTGAGACTGGAGAGTGAAGGCACAGGCTTTCGGAACGCTGACAGTAGCAGAATGGACACTCTCGGTAGGGCCTGGGTGGAAGTACAGGTCGGCAAGACGACGTGTCCGGTTCGTGCCGTGTTTGGCAACACGGGAGAAGTTGAGGGGATCCTGGGGATGGATTTCTTGCTGTCAACTAAGGGCTCCCTGGATTTCGGGTCATGCGAGCTAACGGTAAACAGTGAGAAGATGAAGTGTTTTGACCGACGTGGGGGAGGCCTCTGCGCACGAGTACTTGTGGGGGAAACTACGAGAGTGCAGCAGGTCACGAGGCGTTGGTACCGGCCGTCGTGATGGGCGAGCAAGTCAGCAGCAAGTTGGGCCTCATAGAACCGTCCGACCGAAGCGAAGTAGCGGACAAGGGCATGATTGTAGCACGTGTTCTCGTCAACTTGGAGGAAGAAGTGCTCTCCGTGCGTGTGTTCAACCCCGGCAAGAGGGAATGCGTTGTGAAGGAGGGAACCATGGTGGGATTCCTAACGCCTGTGGAGGCCGTCGCCGCACACATCAGGACGTCTTTGCAAGGAGTGACAAAGACATCGGCCGTACAAACTTGGTTCGACACAAAATAGAAATCGGCGCAGCTCGTCCTATGAAGGAGAGGCCCAGACGTTTTCCTCCCAGCGAGCAGAAGGAAATAGATCGTCAAATACAGGAGATGGTCAGGGAAGGGAGAATAGAGCCGACAGAGAGTCCATGGGCATCGAATGTGGTCCTCAAGAAGAAGGACGGTAGCCAACGATGTTATGTTGACAATCGTCGCCTAAACGCTGTGACCATCAAGGACGCCTTCCCTTTACCCCGCATTGACGAGTCCCTAGATACCCTGTCCGATAGTAAGTGATTTTCCACTTTGGACCTCGCCAGTGGACACTGGCAGGTGGAGCTCGATGACGACACCCAACAGAAATCAGCATTCGTAGGCCGTGGCGGCTTGTACTCTTGGCGAGTCATGCCGTTCGGACTTTGCAATACTCCCTCCACTTTTGAGCGACTGATGGAAAGGGTGCTTGCTGGCTTCCACTGGGAAACACTGCTGGTCTACTTAGACGTTGTGATCGTCTTCACCAAGACCAATGATGAAGAATTGTCGCGGCTTGAGGCAGTCTTTCAACGCCTGAGAGCTGCGGGCATGACGTTGAAACCCCGAAAATGTCACCTATATAACAAGAGTGTATTGTACTTCAGGCACATAGTGTCTGGTGGAGGCGTTGCTACCAACCCAGAGAAGATTCGCGCCATCAGAGAGTGGCCAACACCGAAGACGACAAAAGAGATGCAAAGGTTTTTTTGCCTCGCCTCTCATTATAGAAGATTTAGTCAAGGCTTTGCAAACATCGCCCGCCCCTGGCATAGTTTCACAGAGAAATCAAGGGAGTTTATCTGGAGTAACGCCTGAGATGATGCCTTCAAGGAGTTGAAGAAGAGGTTACAGCAGTCACCTACACTTCCTGTCCTGTTGCCGATGTCGACTACATATTAGACACTGACGCTAGTGTGTCTGGTATTGGAGCTGTCCTTTCACAGATTGCTGATGGGCAAGAGCAAGTCATCGCCTGTGCGAGTAGGGTGTTGAGTAAGGCGGAACGTAACTATGGCATTACAATGCGTGAGCTCCTGGCAATGGTGGTATCCCTGCAACAATTTCGGCAGTACCTGTATGGGCGTAAAGTGACAATCCGAACAGACTACTGGGTCTTGCTATGGCTCGTAAACTTTTGGGACCCTCAAGGGCAAATGGCAAGAAGGCTGCAGGTGATCAGTGAATTTGACTTCACTTTTGTCCACCTACCTTGGCATTCTCATAGGAATGCAGACAGTCTATCAAGGAAACCTTGCACCCAGTGTGGTTGAGAAGATGAAGCGCGATCCGCGGGCAGTCCCCCGAAGAACGAGGAACAGACAGCAAGCCCAAGGAGTGCAACAGCTGTGTCTCATTCAAGGGTAGTGACGGTGCAGCCTGACTTGAACTCAAAAAAGAGTTGCGAAAGGCGCAGCTGGAGGAAGAGGCACTGAAATGGGTTATAGCTGCAAAACAAGACCCAAATCAGAACGAGCCAAGGGATACTGCAGGCTATCATCTAAGGCGAGAACCTATAAGACGCATTAGGGGGCCAACTAGAAGTGCTAGAGGGAGTTCTCCAAAGAAATTGGTATTACTTGCCAAAAACCACGAGGAGGTAGTAAACCAGCTACATGGGAGTGCCTCGGGGAACATCTAGGCATTAGAAAAACGCTAGCCAAGGTGAAGGCAAGGTTTTACTTAGCCGGCATGGCGGCGGACGTGCGATCCATTATCAAGAGATGTAACGTCAGTGCCCGCAAAAAGTTACCCACGAAGACTAAAAGAGCTCCACTACAACAGAAAATGGTTGGTGCGCCTAGGGAAAGGGTGGCGTTGGATGTGTTGGGCCTATTGCCAGTTACCGAGAGAGGGAACAAGTCTATACTTGTTGTAGGCGACTACCTGAGTAAGTGGAAAGAGGCCTACCCAATCCCCGATCAGACAGCAGAAACGGTAGGGGATAAATTCGACAAAGAGCTTGTCTGCCGATACGGCGTTCCCGAAGTTCTACACTCTGACCGAGGACGCAGCTTTGAATCTCGAGTGTTTGGAGAAATCTGTCGCCTATTGGGCATCGAGAAAACACGCACAACGCCGTATAATCCGAAGAGTGATAGGATGATTGAGCGCTTCAATCGAACACTGATCACGATGGTTTCGATGATATAGAGCCTCATCGTCGACTGTGTGATTGGGATGAGAAGATTCCTTTGGCCGTGTTCGCCTACCGGACGTCGCCTCAGGACTCTACAGGCCAATCGCCGAACATGCTTATGCTTGGGAGTGAAGTTCGCGTGCCAATCGATTTGACCGTTGAGCAGCACGGGGACGACCAACAGACGAAGGGTGCGTTGACAAAGATTATGCACAGCAACTGAGGAAGCTGTTCAGTCGCGCACACGATCGGGTTCGCAAGTGTCTTAAACAAAGTGCGAGAAGGCAGAAAAGCTACTATGACAGACAATCTGCATAAGACGAGGTGGCAGTAGGAGAGTTCGCATGGCTGCATAACCCTGCGAAAAAAGGGCTATTCTTCTAAATTACAGTGCCGCTGGGAAGGTCCATACCTCATTGTACTTAAAATTTCAGCAGTCATCTTCCGCATCCAGAAGAAGAAACATGGGAAAATGAAAGTGGTACACCGCAACCGCTTGAAACCCTACACAGGGGAACCCATTGCGTCATGGGTTGTAGATGGGTCAGGTGAGGCCAACAACGACACCCCCAGTCGCCAACAGCTACAAGTCAGCATTGCTGACGAGATCGTGATATATGCAAGCAACTAGAGATTTCGACACAATCAAGACAATTCCTAGACCCTGCCACCAGACCTTTCACCCCAACAGTGTCACTGCAGTCAATTGGCTCTGCCGCCGAGACCCCACCGGTTATGGAGTCAACCCAAGACTACGGAAAAGGCTTGAGAGCGCAGAGGGACCCAAAGGCCCCCTGCACCTACTGCACCGCGTCGAAATCCCCCAGGCATCGCAGACTGCCCCAGAGATATCTTTCTTTAAGTGTGTAGGGATGTTGTGGGAGCGTTAGAGGGCAAAACACTCCAGAAATGAAATGAATCTTTTGCTTTCCTCCCATGCAGAGGCCATACAGACCAATACTGACACTGGGACTGGTGGCTTTTAAGTGGAGACGTTTTATGTGTTCTTACTTGGATCCCAGCAGGCTGTTTTAACCCTGGTTACATTCGACTGTGAAAAAAATTATCAAAATTATCAAAACAATTCACATGAGCGAACAATCGAAGGAAACGTCTTTTGGGAATTAAGATTCGTGATTTTAGCACTTCATTTCCCATTTTATTGTCACTGCCTGCAAGTTTTTAAAATTCATGCAAGGAAAGCACAATTATTCTTACATTCAATAAATCTGTGAAATAAAAAAAATTGTACATAATAATATTAACCAAATTCCAATCATTATAAACACGTACCTTCTGAGTAATGAAATAAACAACTTCAGTCAACGAGGGCTGGCCTTGGACTAGTTCGGGAGTTATTTATCAAATAGAAGCAGTTTGTTTCTTTCTTTGATCATTTTGTGATTATTTTGTGAGACAAACCACAACATGACATTTAAAAGTACAGTAGTACTGTGGTGTTAAATATTTGAATCAATGTGATGTTTAATCAAGAGTGGAATACAAAAAAATTGAAGAAAACAATTTGTACATCTTATTCTATAATTGAAACGTAATCGGTCTATAAAACTATCAGGTCTTACTGTTGAAGTTATTATACAGCCCGTATGTCTGCTATTTGCCTTGAGCTTTGTCTGTCTTGTCCGAGGGAAGATACAAAAACATTTCTATACCATTTGTCAAAGTTGTTCCTTTTCTTTTCTTGTAATTTTCTTTATCCTAAATCTGTCTCCGTGCATAGATTATTTATTCCTTGTTTTCCCTTTGTGCAAAATCGACGAGACCTGCTATCATACTTCACACCATCGTTGAGCAATCGTGATTTTCTGTAACAAAGTCGCCACTGAGTCCAAATCCCGACATGTGGTGAACCCAGAACGCATTCTGGTTATCTTTTTGTTCAGTAAGAAGACGCACCCCTTTATACAATGATCCTGGTGAACCACTTTTCTTTTTCATGCAAATTTGTTTTTGTTGTTTTATTGGAAAAAAGGTCAGTCCAGTTGAACGCGCGGTTTTCCGGGGACGTAAAAAGCTGATTGTAAGTGCTGAGTGAGTGAGATCAATTCTTGTGTCGGATGACTGAAGCCAGTCCGTCAGTGAGTTTGACGAGAAAGAGTTGCCTGGTGCTAGCTGTGCTGGGTTGCCACCCGAACCGACGGGCGAGTGGGTACGTCCACTGCAGGTAAAGGGTTGGCCAGCTGAGATTCTGAGGCCGTAGGCCAAAGTTTGATAACACGTTCTTTATACCACCGACACCCTGAGGAATTGACTAGTCTCCACATGGCTTGCGCCTGAAGTTTAAGTGCACGATCCCCCGGATTACCGTAAGTTTTATGTCGTTCATGTTGTTGAATTTGTATGAAGACTGAATGTGCTCAATTATGTTATATTATTGTGATGTGTTTTCTGCCCTGCAAAAGTATTTGGCCCAGATTCATCAAACGCAGAATTCTGAAGGGTTGGTAGTTGATTTGTAACGTCTTGTGTGGATTTCGTTTCTATTTATTGAAATCGATCAAAACCCATCAAAAAGGACAGAGATTTGTTGAGCTTTCGGTCATTTCAATTTTTGTAGATGATCATTGTTCCCATGGAGGCAACCTGATGACTCAGAGTAAGGCCTGAGAAATCCTCCTGAGCTTGATACTTGAGCTCACGCCAAAGCTGACCGTGTCTCATAGTAACAGCAACAGAGACAGGACGGATGTCACCCGCGTTTCTGCCTTGGTCTTCCAGTACCCGTCAGTTATCGGACCATCTGGGGTTTGTATCAGCTATTTTATAATTTGTTGCCGACGAAGCTATTAATTTATTAATGCTTTCTAATTCACTGTGAGCTGTAATTGCAACCTTGTCATTGGCTAAATTCAGTTTGCTATTTTGTTTTGAGGTTGCCATTATTAATTCAACTGTTCGATTAATTTGAGTTCATTTTAAGTTTGGATATTTGAGTTTTGCAAAGCCATACAGCGAGATAAGTTCCCTGAAACTGCTGCTGAAACTTAAATTTGTTAGAATTATCCTCACATTTTCTTTTGGATTGTTCTGAGTTTGGATTGTTTTCTCGAGTTTGAGTTAATCAAGGTCAAGTGAATTTTAAGTTGGAAGTTTCACCATTCTTTTAGTTCAATTATTTCTTGTACATATTGTATATAATTTCAATTTGTTTATTTATCATTCTAGCTCAATTAAACGCTTTTCTTTACGTTTTCTCTCTTTGACGTTAATTCAGCATGTTTTGGTCGTTTGTTTGTCCGTCAGATTTGATGACAGAAGTGTTCTGATCACGTTAGACTGTTTTAGGGTTACTAGTTGACACCATTTTCTTCATGTCGGCATCATTTATTCTTTATTTGCGAAGCAAATACCCCGTGTTTTATTATTATCTAAGTCAATTGTGTATAGCATATAACTTAAAAAATCATGTGTAACTCCTTAGTAAATAATACCAATATGGAAATGTTGATTCGAGTTGATTCCTGATGAAGTCGATGATCTGCGCTGAGTCCCAGTGGATATGGTGGTCGGATGCGTGTGCGTACATGAGGATAACGGACTTGTCGCAGTTTCCTTGTCGACCGTGGGCATGATCCTTAAACCTGTTGGGGAGGTTAATGCCCGTTTTCGGATGTAGATCTTTCCGCACTCACAAATATTCGGGTAACACCTGCTGGGACGTTTTTTTCCCTGGTGGGTTGGAGGATGCATTGCAACTTGTTATAGGTGCAGAGTGGAAGACTCTGATACTTGCTGACAGCAGAATATGTTGAAGCTGGTAAGAGGCTGGGCCTAAGTGTGGGAGACAGACTGGTAGACGGGGACTGGGCTTCGGATATAAGAGACCATAGGGAGGGGGCTTTGAGGGGTTGATCTGGCCGGGGTGGTATTCGTTGCGCTGAAGGGCAATCTTGATGTGCCGAAGTTCATGTTGCATGGAATCCTTATCACAGATCTCGTAGGCTCATCGGACAAAGGTGTGGTTGACTGAAGCCTTGATAGCGGGGAGATTGCAACGTTGCTGCGGGAATACCAAGACGCCCTCTCTAAGGGAGATGGAAATCTAAGCCAAACAGACTGGGTAAAGCATCACATCAACACTGGCAATGCAGCACCTGTGAAGGAGAGGCCAAAGAGACATTCACCTGTAGAGTAGGAAGAAATAGCTCGGCAAGTTAATAGCCCCATAGTCCAAGTTTCTGGACGATGGGAAAATCGTGCCTTGTGATAGCCCTCGGCTGCAAATGTAGTACGTGATCTGAAAATAGACGGAACCAAGAGGTTTTGTGTAGATTATCACCGCCTAATACATTGACCACGAAAGGTGTCTACCACATACCACGCATTGATGATTCGTTTGACAGCTTGGCAGGTGCAGGGTGTTTTCTACTTTGGATCTCGCTACAGGGTATTGGCAGGTAGAGTTGGACGAAGACGCACGTGAGAAGTCAGCGTTTGTTGTGCGTGGAGGTCTTTCCTGTACGCGGTTAATGATATTCGGCCTCTGTGATGCTCCTTCGACCACCGAAAGGCGAATGGAGAGCGTACTCGCTCAAGGCCTGCAGTTGCTGATATATCTTGATGACATCTTCATAAAGATATAGTGCATGAAGAGTTGAGTCGCCAGAAGGTCGTCTTCCAACGCCTTCGTGATGCCGGCTCCAGCCGGAAAATGTGAGCTCTTTAAGAAACCGGTGTTGTACCTTGGGCTTATCTTGTCGAACCGAGCTGATGCAATAGGTCCAGAGAAGATAAAGATAGTGAGGCATTGGCCTTCAACTGCTACACTTACCGAAGTGCAGAGTTTTTAGGGCTGGCGTCCTACTACAGATGTTTTGTAGAGTTTCGCTAATATAACCCGACCTCTGCGTCGCTTGACGGAGAAGGGAGAGTCCACCTGGGACGACCAGTAGGCCTACGAGAATGCATTTCAAATTTTCAAGATAGTGTTGCAGGAAGCACCCATCCCCGTCCGGAGAAAGAATATATACTCAACACATATGCTAGCAACGTCGGGAGAGAGGCTGTCTTTTCACAGATGGTTGACGTCAGTGTAACCCCGGGTTCTCTCCAAATTGCAGGAATCAAATACTTGAAATGACTCCCTCGGAGCTCATGGATATCGGCTATACACTCAAGACTATGCTTTGTTTATTTGTCACAGCTTATACATGAAATGGGAAAAATCACTTTAGTAATTGATCGAAAGGAAACAAACAAAAAAAAACTTGGCAAAATAAACTGAGCTCAGAAAAAAAAATACAAGAAACGGCGCCAGGACTGGGAGTACGGCTCTCATTCAATCTCAACAGTTAAGTGTCCAGCCGGTGCCTAGCCGGAGTAACAAGTTCGAGCTACATGTATGCACTCCACAGGACACAGGACCTTGGGCTGTCCTCAAGGCTCAAATCAGGGTGTCTAGTGTGCCCAGCGTTGTATGCGTCTGGTGGCAGTAGCTGGCGGTCCCAGGGCATACAGCCAAAGTGGTAACCAGTGGCCTATAACAGAGAGCAGGTCCATTCCATAATCATGATTAATATAATGGGAATACAGTGGACCTTGTCGACCAGCAGGTACATTACACTCCCATTAATACAGACGGGCGAATAGAAAATCTAGCCTCAGTGAAATAAAACAATTCCTTGTGGAATCCTCATGGGATTAATAAAACCAGATCAAAGCAGCCACAGACCAAGTGACCACTGCACAAGCCCAACTCCAATTATATAGGTGATTGGTTTGGTTTCTGGGCATTAACTCTGCTTGATATATTATTTTACCAGCAATTTGAACTTGTGTTGCTTCATGACTGACACATAAAATCTTAAGGAAAACTACAATAACACACACAAGCATATCATAATTAAGTTTCCACCACAACACAATGCTAATAATAACATCGTTCGTTCTGTATACTTTCAGCCCATGAACACCAGTGGTAAAATATAAAAGACACTCATAAACTTTTTGGTTAAGGCTTCATCCTCAAAGAAATTCAAAATTCTCAAATTGATCTAAAAATGACAACCCGCCAAATTCAGCGATCATAAACTGATGTAAAGGATAGCTAGCATAAAATCTATTCTGTACGATCATATAATTCTAAAGAACTGATAGCCATCAAACGCATTGGGTAAAATAAATTCGGTTTCCTCTTGGCATTGAGAATTCAAAAGGCTAAGAAACATAAACGTAAATTAATTTTCAAACAATATGCATCTTAATACCTTCCTCAAATCCTGGAAAATATTCAGAGAGACAAATCGTAGAAGCCTCATTACGTGCCGCTAAAAAAATTAACATGCCTGAGGAATTGACTGCTCGCTGCTCCCATGTACTATCAATCTTTTAGAACTCCTGCTCATGAAACAATAAATTGCTAATTGAAGGTTAATGACAGCTCATCTACTTTTTGTCAATTCCAATAACATCAAAATCCAATGGCAAACAGATAACTTTTCATTAGACTGCAAAACAAAATGAAATCAAAGGAACAAACTTCGGACTCACCTATAACAGAGAGCCAACATTCACTCAGGCGTGGAGAGATGAAACGGACACTCCAATCCAATTGAACAAAAACAAATTAGGATCCTCAGTAGAATGCTCCAGTCAGATTTCTTCAATTGTATGCCAGGAGCAATGATGTCTAAATAGTGGAGTGGAAAAATTGGCGGTGCTTGCCGTAGGCTGGCTAGTTCATAAAGTGGTGATATGGCAGGAGGAGGACCACTCGATATACATCGTGGTCCCTGGCTAAAATGTATTTTTGTGCCGACGTGGCACTCCAAGAAAGTTTTAGGGTAGCTGGCTCTTACCCGTAGGTGACCTAAAAGAGGACATTGAGTGAGGGGTCAGTCAACCAACCCAGTTGACAAGGGAAAGAGCCATAAATCACACAGGCATTAAAGGCTACTGACAACAGACATAAACGTATCTAAAACCAAAAGAAAAGAAATGATCTTAAAGGAAAAACTAGGGAGTCTAACATACACAGGGATATACAAAATGACACATACGTGTAACTATAGTAACCTGGACCTAAATAGGGTCAGGGTGACATAAGGAAAGGATCATAGCCTGCGGAAGCCGAGTTCTGAGTAAGCCAAATCGAAATTACTGTATAACGCGTAGGAAACTTTCCGCTGTAGATGTCTTCTTGAAGCAGTTCAAACCCTATGTCTACGGGAGAAGAATCACAATCCGGAAGGACCACGGAGTACTGCTGTGGCTACTAAACTCTCGTGACCCACAGGGACAGATCACCTGTCGGTTACAGGACTACAGGATCCAATTTCATGGCACTGCTGACTTACACTAACCGCGCTTTCCTGTGCTTCACGAAGACCGTGAGCAGTTATCACGGCAGAAAGCATGCGTGCCCCGGAGGAGAAACATGCTGAACATAGTGACAAAACAGTGCAAATTCTCTAAGCACTCACAACGGTAAGCACAACCACGTTAATCACCGCCATGAAATAGTGCTTGAGCGAGATTTAATAGCAAATTGTTTTCCTGTAGTAAGCAGTATTTTTATGTTAACCGTTAAGCAGCTCCGTGAAATTGGGCCCTGGTGGTGAACGAATACGATTTCAGCATAGTTCATTGTGTCGTGAATCTCCCGGAAATGGGAACGGGATCTCACGTCGACCGTGTCCGCAGTGTGGACGAGAAGGTAAAGGGATAACAACAGGTGATCGTACTGGAGAAAGAAAAGAAACCACAGAGAAGTCGAAGGGAAGAGAATTACGTGCAGTGCAAATAGT